ATATATTGTGCTGTCTAACTGCTCAGTTATCTTCAAAAATTCATTTGACTTCCTTCCCGATTAAATGTTTATCTGAAATTTGGTATGAGTAAACTAGACTTAATAAAGAAGATACTCAAAAATTTTGATCAAAAAATTCCACCGGAAACTGCCCCAAATGGCGACGGCCAGACAGAGCCTCCGATAAAAGGACTTATTTGCACTTTTTATACATGTGTAAGGGCTTATTTGATAGTCTTCTCTTAATTTTTTGACATTAATGTTAGAGAGGATCGGAATTCAGAGGAGGAGACACGGAAAGGTGGGATGGCCGCATGGATAGTAAGGGATAGAAAAGCCATTTGAAAAAGCAACTTTTTATTGCATTTCATATTTTGGTTGTTTGGAATAAAAAGCAAATGAAAAACCCCTTTAACCAAAGAGAAATGTTAGTGGTACTCCATTTTGTACCCCATTTTGTACCCACCACATGTTTGTATTCACAAAAATCCAACCCAATTAAATTAATTGCTTCACTTTTGTGAAATGGGTAGCTTTAGTTGTTGTGTTAACCAAACCAATTTTGCTATAGGTACCTCATACTTACCCCAATTTCTACCCCATATAAATACCCCTGTTTTTACCATCTTTTTACTTCTTTCCAAAAATATCTTTCTCTCACATCTCCCACACCCTCCACCCACTATTCTTGTTTCCGCCAAAACACACCCCAACCTTCGAACTACTACAGTGCTCGACGAAGGGTCTTACCTGCTTCTTTACATGCATCATCTTCTTGGATGGATGTGATGGGGAAGCATTTATCCGACATTAGTGATGAGTTTTGTTTGGATGGGTTGACATGGGGAGATGAAGGTGAGAAGCTTCATGAGGTGGGTGACAGTGGTAATCCACCATCTCCGAAGGCTGTTGAAGTAGAAGCGAGTTCAAGGGAAGAAGATGATGAAGATGTGGAAGTCTTTGACAAGAGTATATTTATTTTTCGTCATTTTTGTATTTTGTTTGGCGGACAGACAATTTGTTACTGCAGTGTTTGGCTAGCCTAACGTAAACGCGGTCTCATAGTTGTAAGAAGTGAACGTGGTTTTATAGTTGTTAGAGTCTTTATATAAAGATGTGTTTTTTTTTTGAAACATGGTTTGGCGGACAGACAATATGTATGTATTTATTACAATTATTGTTTGTTTGTAGAGACAAAATGATCCGCAAGGCTTTAATCTCTCTTCCATCAACTTCAATCTGGTTTTCAAATCTGCCACATTCTTCCGCAGAGCTTTAATCTCCTCCATGACTTTGGCCTTGAACCCCTTCCTCCCTACTTCTTCATCCTCGTTCTCTGTTTCTTCTTTATCATTCTCATCAACATCTTCCTCTGCTTCTTCCTCCTACACATGAAACAGTTGAATTATATAATACGATGTTATGACAAATTGCTTAAGTTAAAGAAAATAAGATATAATACATCATCATTGTCCTTGAAAACCAATTCATTCAGATTCCGTGCATGAAAGAATCCATCAGCCTTCCAGTTCAGCATAGGGATGTCTTCATTACCAACTCGTTCAACAAATTTCTCTCCAAGGTTAGGAACGGTCTCATACGCCCAAACCTATATGTAGAAAAATTAAAATGTTTATCTACCCAAAATATGTACATATAAATGTCTGTATGTACATATAAATGTCTGTCTGTTTACATTACTTGTAGAATATGAGGACATCCGTATAGAGTGAACTTGACATTTTTGGCATTGCTTTTCTTGAACCTCCCGGGCTGACCCCTTTCATGACACTTTTCAGGTTTTCAACCATTATGTTGTAGGACTCTAAACCCCAGTTATACACCGTAAACTTCTCAAACTCGTCCGCCCATTTGACATAATCTAAATTTATTTTTGTTTTGTTATCTCTTGCAAGCAGAACACTCACAAGGTAACACAAGGACACTAGCTTGAGAGGGTCAGTGGGATCTCCTCTTTTAGGCTTGAATGACTTCAGCTTTTCCTTCAACGTCTTGAAGGTTATGTCCGTTGATCCAGCAAAGTACTTCTCAAACACCTTCCCACAAACCTCTTCATCAGTACTGAAAACAGACTTTTCTCCCGATGCTTTAATCCCAGAGATGCGGCAGAAATCCGCGTAGGTAAACTTCAGCAGCTTCCCTTGAATACAAAACCATAACTCGTCATCAGGTTGGTCCCGTACAAGCCTGAGCAGAAGAGAATGGATAATTTGTCCCGAAAATTGTATCTCTGACACAGATATGAGGTGGCCCCATGGCAGCTTCTTAAACTCCTACCATTGCTTCTTGGTCAAGGCAGACTGCACCAAGCTTCTGACCTCTTTGAAAAATGAGCATACGGAATACTGGGCATGAAACTGCTTCGACACAGGAACTTATAGTTCAAAAGCCCTGTATAATTTCAACCAATACATATCACACCTTTCAGGCAAACCAATTACATTACAAAGTAATTTAAAATGACGGGACGGGCAAAAAATGGGTTGCCAGACAACTACTAGTGCATGCCAGACAAATACATACAGGCTGCCAGACCATTTATAAGACTTGAAAGACAACTACTGACCAAATTTAAACAATTCAAATTCAAGACCCAGATAATTGATATGGATGACCAGACAACTACTTATACATGACAGAAAACTAGAAATGGGTTGCCAGACAATTTCTTTGACTTATGGCCTTCCAGACAATTTCAAGGACGTCACAAACAACTACAAACCTAATTTATAACATTCAAATTGACCAACCAGATCTGTCATATGACTTGCCAGACAACTCCATTGGCATCACAGACAACTACAGACATACTTTCAAGAGTTCTATCACACACAACAACTTCATAGTATTCACAAACATAATGACAAACAACACTAAAATTATAACTCCATTCACACCAACATAAAATAAATTCAACAAAAATAGAACAAATTACATACCTTTCAACCATTTGCGATAAGCTTGTGCGAACCATTGAGTCAAAAACCTTCAGAATGGGTTCTGGATGAACAAGGACGGAGGTCTGCAATTTGCTTGGACGAACTTGGACGAACCTTCAAAAATCAGAATGGGTTCTGGACGAACAGTGCTCCGATGAACTTGGACAAACAGGGACAGAGGTTTGCAACGAGGGGTGCTCACAAAACACTGCTTCAATTCAGGGATGGGTCGGGGCGGGTTGAAACTCGGTGCAACTCTTGAATTTGGGCTGGTGTGCAACGCGACGACTCAGAGATTTGGAAACGGAGGTCAGCAACGCAGTGGGGGTTAACTGGCGATGGTTGTTTTTCGAAAGTTGTGGGAAAGGGGAAAGGTGGGAGCGGGAGATTTGGAAAGGTTGGAGGTGAGGGGAAAAGATGGACGCACGTGAGGGAGGGTGGGGTAAATTATTTGGAGGGCTTGCATATGGGTAGGAATTGGGGTAAGTTTGGGGTACATATACCAAATTTGTAACCAAATACTCTTCGCTGATTGAACAATTTTGCTATAGGTACCCCAAATCCTACCCCAATTGTACCCCATATAAAAACACACCCCCACTTTTCTTCTCCCCCTTCCTCTCTCCTGCACCCCACCTCTCTTTCTCCCTCCCTCTCCTCTTTTCACGCACCCCCCTCCCTTCCCCTTTCTTCTCCATCTCAAAATCTTTCCCATTTTTACCATTTTTCCCCCTTGCAACCTTAAATCTTCTCCTGCTTATCTCCACTTCCATCGGTGACGTTGTCGACGGCGGGTCTACGCCGGTTGCCGACGACGGGCCTACGTTGGTTGCTATTTCGGATGCAACCTCAAGGGAAGACAACGACGAAGGCAAACCAAGAAGATTTGAATAACTTGAGCGGCAAATCTTCTTTTCTTGATTTTGTTTTCTTCATTTTTGATGTATTTTCGAAATATAAAGGGTTGTCTGTCAGACAGACAACTTGTAAGTGCAGTGTCTATAAGAGTCTTGAAATTGTCTGTCATTTGAAAAATAAATGTCTGTAATTGATATTTAATTGTTTGTCATTTGTTTGTTAGTTGTCTGTATTTGTTTTGAGTTGTGAAGTTGTCTGTAACTCATACTTAGTTGTTTTTCATTTCATTGTGAGTTGTATGTAATTTGTGGTGAAAAAAATGTTTGTCTGGTTATCTCTATTGTTTGTCTAGTTATACGTATTGTCTGTCTTCTTTATGAAACATATTCCAAAATGGTAATTCACAATAAAGTAATGTCTGTATGTGTATACTTATTGTCTGGATGTGTATAGTTAATGTCTGCCTCGTTATACTAATTACATCTCAAAAAATAAACATCACAAAATACAGACAACTCACAAACAAATACAGACAACTCAAAACAAATACAGATAATTAACCGTCAATTACAGACAGACAGACAACTTCACGACTCTTACAGACTTCTCACAACAACATGACAGACAACTCGAAACAAATACAGACAACTAACGATCAAATGACAGACAACTTCACGAGTCTTACTAACAAATACAGACACTGCACTTACAGTTGTCTGTCAGACAACCCATTTTTTTTGAAAACACATCAAAAAATCAAGAAAAAAATCAAGAAAAGTAGATCTTCTCAAGTCATTCAAAGCTTCTTGGTCTGCACTTTCGCCGTTGTCTCCCCGTGTCAAGTTATCCAACGTCACCCAACTCTCCCCTTCGTCAGATCTACTGTAACTCTTGCATTTGAAACGAAAAAAAAAACAGAAGAGGCGAGAAGCAGGAGAAGAAGCTTGGAAGGAGAAAAGATTGTAAAAATGAGAAGACTTAATGGAGAGAGATGTTGAAATGGAGAAGAAATCAAGATTTAGAGAAAAGAGAAAGAAAGGGGAGAAGATGGAGGAGGGGGACTGTGTAAAAAGAAAAGAGGGAGGAGAGAGAGGGAAGGTAGGGGGAGAAGAAAAGTGGGGGAGGGAAGAGGGTTTTTACATGGGGGTAAATTTGGGTACCGCAAAATTGCTGATTGAAAGGCCGAAACTGGTCAAATGGCTGCTAACCAAGCAGGGCACATATATTTTGGCGGCAAATAAAGGAAAGTGAAAAAGGATGGATGTTGAGAAAATGTTGCAGAGGAGGATCTGTGAAGAGAGAAGCTGTGTGAAAGATGAAACGATAGAGATAATTATCTTTGAATTTCAGAATAATATCAGAATTGCCAATACGACGGTACCGCTCGATATGTTTTGCCATCAAACTACACTGTAAATTTGAAGTACCCGCAAATTAGTTCGGAGAATCCCAAGCTGTATACTCGATCGATCGCAATGGCTTCAGCCCTCTCCTTCTCCCTCTGGCTCTCGGGGTACCTTGCTACATCGCCGGAGCGTTCAATCAACGATGTTTTTCCGTCCGTCCGTCCGAACATCTCCTGCTCCGCCGCCACATTCTCTATTTCTTCGGTATTTTTTCCTGATCATTTTCTCATTTTAGATTTCTAGCACATCAACATTAAAAAAAACGCACAATAAATAAATGACTAGGATTAAAAAGAAATCGTCGCTTTATATCATATATGCAGGTACCTTCAAAGCACACACGCTTATGCACATATGGTGGGACTATGTTGTTGAACAGTTATAGTGGTGTGAAACTATGGATGCCTGAGAATGTGAACTCTCGATTCCCAGGCAGAGTCTGGTCAATGTGTCATTCTGGAACGACTCCATTTCAGGAAGCTGGATCTTCATCCCCTGTTGCATCAATTAGTTGGGATCCTAAATTCCTAGTCATTTCATCTCATCATCATCTCGTGTGTATTTGTTAAAATCCCCTCCTAGTTGCTAGGACGGTGGCTCATTACTATTATTAGGGAAATCGACTTTAAATAATACTACGTACATATCACAAAAATAACAATTTTATACCCCAGCTATTTAAATAGTACTCCGTAGTATATAACAAAAATGATATGGAACCACTTTCTCACTACAAATATGGTCAGTCAAAGCGGGTACCCCTGAAAGATCATCAAATAATCTTATCTGACTGTTCGATACTAGCTTTTGTTCTTTTGATGAATCAAGTGACCGGATGTGTACTGGGAAAGTGGGTACGTATCATTTTTGTTATATATTCAAATAGTTGAGGGTATAAAATTGTTATTACTGTTGTATTATTATTATGTGGTGGGTAATTGATGATATTATTTAAAGTTATTTAATATTATTATTATAATAATAATATGGAGTAGTAATTATTATTAATTCCAGCCTGCCTAGGTCCAACTAAGTACTGCAGAGTGCAGGCAACAGAAATCAGAATTTTGACATATCTTTAAATTTTATGTTGGCTAAGCACAAAGAATTTTTTAACCTTTCTCTATAGTATATGCAATCTGGATTGATTGGAGAAATCAAGCCTTATGGCTTGTAGTTTCTTCTTAATCTGAGCTTTCAAGTATGAAGTTTGATACTTGTGAAATGTTTACAAGGTCATTGTGTTCTTGTTTTCTTGTGTGTCAGTGATATTTTGGAATGGCAAGACGAAGTAGTACTTTATATTGTTGAATGTGTGAATTTTGCTTTAGAAAGAAGTTCAATAGATGGAATGTGCATGAGATGATTCATAATTCCAATGAACAATTAGAAATTCACGTTGAGCAATGAAAAAAAGTTCTGAATAATTGAATTAGAATTTATTTGTACCTAAAGTGCTCTCGAACGTTTGTATTAGGCTTTAAAAAGAAGTTCAATAGAGGAAAATGTGCATGATTAATTATTCGAAATTTATGTCTAAATTAAGTTGTGTAACAAGAGAAGAATATTTGATTTGCTCAAAAGCCATACCTGACTTGAAAACTCATTTGTTTTCTTTCCAGTCTCAACCCTCACAGAGGCCACCCAGTTTGGAAGATCACCCGCTATTAGCATTGTTGTCATTGGGGCTACTGGTGTGCTAGCTATGAGAAAAATATTCCCCGCCCTCTTTGCTCTGTATGACAGCGGTCAACTACCAAAAGTAATCTTTAATGTCATCTTTGTGTTTTTTGTTTTTCATTTTTTCATACTTTTTTCAAGTTTCAACTTTTGTGATTGCTATCCTTTTAGACTGTTTCAGGGAGGGGGCAGGTTCCTTCTTTGTTGGTCTGCTTTCATTTTTCAGTTCTCTATTTATAAATAAAAATTCATAGGTATACTCAGTTCACCGCATCAGTCATAGACTAGGTCTACAGAAAAGAGATCTAGTAATTTCATCAACTAACATGGTGGAGTGCGAAGCCAATAGCAAAGTATTCGCACTCTGTGCCTTGTCTGTATATGACATGGTAGGTCGAGTCTGTTTTCTCTCATGTTTTTAAAGAAACTTTAGTATATTTCGCAGTTATTTATCTTAAAAATTCTTCATTTTCATTATGGTCAACTTCCCTTGCATTTATACACATAACCTTTGTGATTTGTGGGACTTCCTGTCAACCTTTGGATGAAATGGAGGCCTTTTTTTATGCAATGGAGGTCCTTTTTACAGTATGAGCCACTGATTTCCATAGAACATTCTCTTTGTTAAGGGACTGTTTTGCCCCAGCTATAATTGATAACATCAATTTAGGTTCTTATTTGCTCACTTAATGTGACAGAACTTTGCTATATTTGGATATTCCAGAAAAGATATAACAGATGAAGGACTGAGAGAAATGATAGCAACCACTTTAACTTGCCGCATCAGTGAGAAGTACAATTCTTTCATTTTCTTTTGTTTCATTTTCAATACAAACTCCCCTATCAGGTTAAGGTGATGAGGTTATTTCTTTTCCATTTATAAGATAATCAACGCTTTACTTATATAGTGATAAAGATCAGAAAATAAGGTCGGGGGCCTTGGTCATGTGGTAAATTGGATATGGGTGTGTCTTGTGCTAGAGCTGCACAAAAGGAACTAGGAGAATTATAGCTAAAGGAGGCTTCCAATTATGATTATATTATTAGCATCATTTATCAGTGTTAGTAAAACACTTTTAGCATCATTTTCTATTAGTAGTAGTTTTATCATTCCCTATTAGTATTGATGTTCTATTTTACTTAATATTCCAAATACCTTATTCTGTTATAGTTAAGATTCTCAATAACAGTAATACAGTATTTAGGGTTACTCGAATGTATGTTCACCCAGACTCTTGAGAGCTGGGATTAGAAAAGTAGAGGAGGTGCCTACGGAGGGGGAGTTCGTTATCTTTACTGTTTTCAATCTTCTTCCTCTTCATCTCCCAACCACGCTTGTAACAAAAGGGAAGCTTTTCTCAAAAAAATACACTACCTTAATATGCCTTAATATGGTCTGCAGACAGAACTGTGAAGACAAAAGGGAAGCTTTTCTCAAAAGAATACACTGCCTTAATGGAGGGCTTAACAACAGAGAAGGAACTTTAAGGCTTCAGATCTTAATGGAATATGTAGAAGTAAGCTACTATGGAGAATAAGATTTATCAGTCAGTACTTTTAATTACTTTGCTAATTGCTACCATTATTGCGGATGACATTTCATTCTGTAGAATCATAGTCATTGCAGGGAAATTTTGAAACAAACAGGATTTTTTACCTGTCTGTGCCGCAAGAAGCACTCTCAGATATTGCATCGTCAATTGCTGAAAATTCCCAGACCAATAAGGGGTGGAATCGTATAATCATTGAAAAACCATTTGGAAGTAATTCTTTGTCTTCTCATCACTTGACAAGCTCTCTGCTTTCAGACTTCGAAGAGAAACAGTTATATAGGTGGATCCATTTTCTTTCATGTGTATAGGGATTAGAAGTATCTATTGTTTTATGTAAATTCTCGTTGACCTTTTCTTCACTTCATTTTCAGGATAGACCATCTTCTAGGAAGGAATACTATTGAAAACCTCACTGTGCTAAGATTCTCTAATCTTGTTTTTATGCCATTATGGAATCGGAATTACATACAAAGTGTACAAGTAATTGCATGAATGCCACAGATCAATACCTACTTTTGTATTTTATTTATACTTTGTTTTCTTCACATAATGACATTTTCTCATACATTTTCAGATCATTTTTTGTGAAGAGACAGGGATGCACACTCCAGCAGGGTAACCAACATTCTTTAAAGTCCATCTAAAAATTCTTGAAACTCAAAATTGATGCTGTTAAAGGCGATAGGCGTCTTCAACAGGTGACATATTAATGGATACTGCCTAATCTGGGATTGTAATCAAGATTAGGTGGGGCCTAAGTGGAAATAAAACACAAGTAGTCTAGGAGGAGCGGGGTTTAATCAGGGTCAGGCAGAGTTAGTATGCAATTGTTCCTCAATTATTTTTGGACTCAAATTGGTTCTTGACTGTGCATATTTGGACCAATTGAGTCTTATAGCTATTTGGTTTAAAATAAGAAGAGTATTTTCATCCGCTCACTACATTTTTATCCAATTTAGGACTTAATTTGGTCCTCGGGAGTCAGGACCTCAATTATGTAATTCGGACCCAATTTAGTGAGAAGACACCCTCCTAATTAATTGAAGTGAGTTATCCCTAGCCACTAAGTTGAGTCTAAGTTGCGTAGTTGAGGACCAAATTGAGCCCAAAGTCAAGTACCAAGTTAAGTAATAGTGCATAATTAATAAATAAAAAGGGCAGCCCGGTGCACATTAGTACCCCCACTAGGCGAGGGTCCGGGGAAGGGTTCCACCACAAGGGTGTATAAGAGGTAAGCCTCCCCTTGTCATTTTGACAAGAGGCCGCTTCTAAGACTTGAACCGGTGATATCTCAGCCACACGACAACACTGTAACCGGTGCCCCAAGGCTCCCCTTATAATAGTATGATCTTTCTTACATCAATTCTGAACATGAATTTCTTGTAAGGTCTGTCTCTGTTATTGTTGGTATGAATTGCCCTGCAGCTATCAGGATGCATCCGGTATAATAAGTGATGTTGTACATAGTCACATACTTCAAACTATTTCTTTGCTTGCTATGGAACCTCCTGTCACATTAGATGGCGAAGATGTTCGTAATGAAAAGGTGTGATTCTCTCATGCTTGTGTGTACTTTGAAATTTGAATCGATATTATATTTGGAGGGTTAAGGTACAAATATACCATCCAACTATATTTCAGAAAACATTTGTGCCATACATCTATATTTTGGCACAAAAATCTGTCAAAGCTAACTTTTAGGCCTTAATATACCCTCCATTAATTAAACATCCCCAAACCAATGTTCATCATCATACCCATACAAAACATATTCGAAGTGAAATTAAAAAGAAAATAAAACTACTAAAATGGCAATGTGTAGGAAAAGAACTCAAAAAACTATACGAAATTAATGACGGCTTGGTTTTGTTCTGCATGGCCATACTGGCTTCTACTCAGCATCTCTACTCCGGCTAAACTCTAACCCAATTCTAAATCTTTCTACAATTACTGTACCCTAGAAAAATACCATAAATTATCACAAGCCTCCCTTCTGCTCTGGTCTCCTATCCTACAATTCACTGTTCTTCCATATCCCCACGTATTTCATCTCTACAATCACTTCACCCATCTATGTATTGCACTATTGCCCAATTCTACCTTCGCTTCAACAATGACAGGGCTTCCTAGCAAGGCGATAGCTTCTTAACGCCATCAGCTTCGTTAGTCATGAGGGTGGGCCAATATAAATGTGTGTGTATATTTATATGTGTGTGTGTGAATTTAAATGGACTGGGCCAAGCTTATTGGCCTAAACAGGCCTACACCCTATCCCAAGCCGTCCATAGATCGTTACGGTCCCGGCCCGGCCCGTTGGGTAAAATATGTGTGTCCGAACTCGCCAATTTATAAGGGCGGGATGGGCAGGCCGAATGGGCTTTACCTTTTTTTTTACAATATTGAATTTCATCTAAACCATTTGAGATACAAAATATCAAGTGTGCTAAGAAACCCATTCATGAAGAAACAAGAATGAAGTAATGTGATTGATGGCCAAGATAAGAGGGTTAAAAGAATGCACATTAGCCCTTGAGTAATTTAGACCATTTTTTATGCCAAAAAATAGACGAGGGATATATTTTTCCTTGTCATATACTTATGGGGTATGTATGTTTCTTAAGCCTATATTTGGATAATAGGATTTCAATTTAAATCTATAATTGCAGTCAAATTTTATATTCAAAGAATTTTTTGTTTCAGATTTTACTTGAATTACACCGTGTAAAAATGTTAAGGATGATTTTAATTGGACTAAAATTTTCTTGTCTGGTCTATTTAAGTCTGCTACTCTATTCTGAATTGATTTGGTATGGTTTGGTAGATGTCTAACTTATGTGTATTTTATTAGTGGAGAAGTCTGGTTTGATCTATTTGAGTCTATTCTGGTGAATCTGTTTGAATTTAGTCTAGTTTGGTCTAGTCTGGGACTAAAACGAGTCCAAGTAAAAACATCCTAAATCTAACTCTTTTCTTGAAATAATCTTCATGTTTTCCTTTTTGAGCTATAACAAAATGATCTTGTTTTTCTCTTTAGAAAAAGAAATGGGTGGTTGCTATTGTTTCAATAATTCCAATCCGAATCTAAACTAAAAACTTTCATTTTCAATCAAATTTCTGAAGCGGGAAGATTATTTCAGAGGAGTAACATTTAAATTCCTTTCAAATGTGAAGTCATCTCACACCCATGAAATATAAAAGAATAAAGCCACCCAAAGAAATGCAATTTGAAATCCAATATTCAATTCCATGCACCCAAGCACTAGAGTTTTAAATATATGAACCATTTGATCAGGTCAAGGTATTGAGATCAATCCGAAAAATAGAACCCTCTGATGTCATCCTTGGATGGTGTGATGCCAATCTCGGGGGTAAGCTAGATGATAATTTTAGCAACCTCGCACCAACATATATTTCTGCTGCGTTATACATTGACAATGCTCGCTGGGATGGTGTACCATTTCTTATAAAAGCAGGCAGGGGACTCACAAAAAACAGGTGACATTGAAACTCGTCTTAATGCTGGTGTTATTTTTCCTAAATAAATATTTAAAAGGCAGTAAGCGATTTTCAAGTTTGGTGCCAACTTTAACCTAGGAAATTTTGTCAAAAATTACTTGAAATCAACGAAAAACATTCCAACTTAAGAGTAACTGAATTCTTTTTCTTAGAAAAGAGTGGAATTATTTACCAAGGCATCTAATTATTTATTAAGGCATTGTTTTATCTATTTTCTTCTTTAGGTCATATTTTTGCATTGCTTATTATAATTAAAGGGTGCATTGGTGTTGTGTAATGCTAGCAAGCATAAATGTGCACAGTGCTCGTTTCCCCAAAATCACACCATTCAAATTCGGTGAAAGGAAAAACAGAACAAAAAAATGGTCTTAAAATTGTCTGGATGTTGTAGTTAAGACGTTCAATTGCAGATTGTAATCTCACTGTTTAGTAAAATCAAGTATCGATCTGCAGAGTTGAAATATGCATATGATTTCGACATGTTGCTGGAAACCTTTACCATAAAGACAATGTGCATAAAGATTTTCTTACTACCAATGATCTGATTCTACGTGATATGCTTGAAGAGTCAATCCTAGTCAGAATAAACAACAAGGTTCCAGGACTAGGCATGCATTTGGACACATCAGAATTGAATTTGCTCTACAAGGACAGGTAATCATTTGTTTTATTTTGTATATGATCCCACAAATGTTTCACCAGCCATTTAAGTAGATACGGAATATATACATAAAAGAGTGACACCATTGTTTTGGCCTAGGTACGAAACTGAGGTACCCGATTCGTATGAGCAACTTCTCCACGATGTCATCGATGGAGACAACCACCTGTTCATGAGAAGTGATGAGGTCGCCGCTTCGTGGGACATATTGTCTATGTTACTTGATGAGATGCACTGTGGCAATATAGCGTTTGAACATTACAAGTTGGGGAGCGAGGGTCCACATAAGGCGGCTGCTGGCCTGTGGGCAAAACATAATGTACAATGGCTGGATGACTAGGAAGGCAGTCTTGTCACAGATTTAGGAAAAGTTTGGTTGGATATACAAGACTACGATTGATAAAAAACGAAGTAAGTTTAGGCTATGTAGCTCAAGTTGTTCTTAGTTGACATACAAGAGCACTAAGGAATATAAGGAAATAAATTTAATAATGATTATGTCTTTAAGGCCATGTCTTTAAGTTTAGTAAGCCATACGTTAACACTCGCTCAAGTTGATGCACGTAGAGAGAGACTGGACATCATGAGAAATGCCCACCTTGGGAGACAATTTGTTGAAACGGTTCACATCATCTAATCTAGTAAAAATATCATCAAGTAGGTTACCATCAAAACTTTCCAAAAAGGGTAATGAGAACAATTTTTTGGGACGGCCCAAAAAGAAAAGTGGGATTTATTTTATGGGACGGAGGGAGTAATTTCTGTTGATGAGAACATTGTACTTTTTGCCCGCTTTTGGCCGTATTTTGAGAGCTTTGTATAAACCCTATATAGGGGTGGACCAGTCACCGGTCCTGGACCGGGACCAAGACCAGCCCGGTCATCGGTGGGTTTGGGACCTTTCAGAAGACCAGAAATCTAGTTCCATGGATAGACCGGATTACCAAAAATTGGAACCGGAATTGGTCGCTATCGGTCTGGTCCCAACGGCTAGTTGCCTTTCCCCCCTTTTTCCTATCCCCCAACAGATCTTTGTGGCCAATCAGTCCCCAAATGGCTCTCTTCAACTATAAAATGATATCATCTTTCCCTCTACAAATTCTACATTGTACACTACTACTATCATATTTTCTTGTTTATCATTTGTAACTCCAATTCTCTCATCTTTAATAATATTACTATGCAAGATTGCAAGCAATGTTAACTCACTATATATGTTATCTATAAGAACAAGTCAAACGGCATGCTCTATGAATAATGTATTCATTGTCGAAAGATTTTGGATTTGGGAAAGCACGAAAGTATCAGTTATGGTACAAAGACGTTCCCATACGAAGCAGGAAGCATTAAGCACTCAACCACACCAATAATGAATAAGTGTTGTGTTTGCATGTTAATTATTTAAATGTTATGCACTATTTTACTATTGAGTAAGGCTCTATGTCTACCATTGTAGTATTTGTACTAGTTCAATGTTTTTAAATTTTTCATAGTCCGAAATTTGATGTTTGTTGTTAGATCTTTCAGTTGTAAACGCATAATATTTAAAATTTTTTTATCAAATTTAGTTTAAATAAGCCAAATCATCTTCTTTTTTTTAACATTTTTACACTTTTATCAGGGTGAGCCGGTATAAATAATTTTTTCAGATAAATTTTTACACATATTTTTACACTAAAAATGTAAAAAAGTGCATGTGGATGATGTGTGGTTATCAATGAAGTCCACAATTAACAAAGTGGCGAAGGAGATACTCGGAGAATCTAAAGGATGTCTGCCACCAAAAAAGGACACGTCTTGGTGGAATGATGAGGTGAAACAAGCGATAAGGACCAAAAGGGAATTCTATAAGAAATTGGGCAAAAGTTGGAGCGACGAGAACATAGAGGAGTACAAAGAGGCTAGAAGAAGAGCAAAGAAAGCTGTGAAAGAAGCCAGAAGAAAAGTGAACAAGGAATTGTATGTAAAGTTGGACTCTAAGGAAGGATAAAAAGATATCTACAGACTTGCTCGCCTTCGTGACTAGGGGTGGGCAGAAATACCGGAAAATCGGTATACCGCACTTATCGTACCGAAAAATACCGGAAAATACCGGAATGTTGGTATACCGTCATTTTCGGTATGATATCATACCGTACCTCTTTATTTCGGTACGGTAACGGTATATGTTTCTAAATACCGCGGTATACCGGTATAATACCGTACCGATTCCATATTCAACATTTATTTTATATTTTTTTTAAATATTGTAGAAGTCCACACAAATTTTCAAACCCAAAATAAAATTCAAGTTGGTAATAAATACCAAAATACAAAAATTAAGGCAGCTGATTCCTTCCCTTGTGACATTTTCTTTTTGTAAATGAGTCCTTTAATCATTATTTGTAATTTGTAAAAAAATTCCCATTCGGTACGGTACGGTAATACCGAAATTTTTCGGTATACCGAATCTTTGGTACGGTAAGGTATGAGTTTTTTGCTAAACCGATATTTCGGTATACCGAAACACGGTATACCGAAAGTCTCGGTACGGTATCGGTATAAGAATTTGTCATACCGCATTTTCGGTACGGTATACGGTATGGGTCGAAATTTTCGGTATACCTTACCGATCCAGCCCTATTCGTGACTGTAGGACTCAAGATATCAGAAAAGTTAAGTGTGTGAAGGATGTCGATCAAAGGGTACTAATGGACGACGAAGAAATAAAAGTGAGGTAGAGGTCATACTTTGATACCTTGTTCAACGGGAATAAAGTGCAAGGTATTGATGATCTTACTATACGAGAGTGTATGGTAAATCGGGACATCGTGAGAAGGATTCAAACAATAGAAGTTAAAGAGGCTATGAGAAAAATGGGGCGGAAGAAAGCAGTGGGCCCAGATGGCATATCGATCGAGGCTTGGAGAAGTTTGGGAGAGAAAGGCATCGAGTGGCTAACACGTTTCTTCAACATGATTTGGAGAAACAACAAAATGCCAGTGAATTGGTGGAAGAGTACTCTCATTCCCTTATTTAAAAATAAGGATGATGTACAAGAATGTGCTAAGTATCAAGGGATTAAGCTAATGAGTCAACCCATGAAACTTTGGGAGCGTGTGGTAGAGCAAAGACTTCGTACAAGTGTGAAAATTTCGGAGAATCAATTTGGTTTTATGCATGGACGCTCAACAACTGAGGTCATTCACCTTCTTAGACAAGTTGTGGAGAAGTATAGAGACACTAAAAAGAATCTGCATTTGGTGTTCATTGACTTAGAAAAGGCATATGATAGGGTACCTCGAGAAGTTCTTTGGTGGGTTTAACTAGAAAAAGCATATCACGTAAGTATATCAGTATCATCATGGATATGTATGATGCTTGTACTACAAGTGTTCGCACTAGTGTATGGAGGACCGCAGAGTTCCCTATTACTATCGGAGTGCACCAAGGATCTGCTCCGAGTCCTTTCCTATTTGCTATAGTCATGGATGAACTTACGAAGTCAATTCCATTTTTCCTAAAAACTACCCTTTTTCTGAAAATGCCAAAAACGTGGCATATTTCTCTTTGCGACTGCCAACATTTTCATTGCTTTCTGCCATAAATATGGCATTCGTAATGAACTTGGCATTTTTCCCCTGGTGACTGGAGGTGGTGGTGCTGAGGCGTCAGAGGCGGCAGTGGATTTTATTTTATTTTTTTAAGTTTTTTTTTTAAAAAAAATATTTTTTTTTAAAAAAAAATATTTTTTTTTAAAAAATATTTTTTTTTGTGAAAAATAAATAAATTATTATTATCGAATAAGTCATAAATTAACTAGGTTATGATTAAAGAAGTCATATTTTAGGATTAACTAGGTTAGGGATATTAAGGGTACAAAATTAATGTTTACTCCTATTGAAGGAAATTTTAAGTTTTACTCCTATTCGTGCAATTATGTTTATATTTACTCCTATATTGGGCAATTTCTATATAGGAATTTATACAAAAATCACTAACAAATGTACGTGTGTTGATGATATAACCTTTCAAATTAAAAAGGAGATTTTGCTGGGGATATTCGTGCTCCAAATATGCTTACTAAAATTGTCAGTTATTCTTTTGGGTCTAGTTTCATCATAGGCACCTTTGAAAGAGTAGGAGTCAGAGGGATAAGGGGTCCAAACTAATATATCACTATGCGCATTGAAATGATGCTTAAAGGAATTAACATTCTATTAAAATCTCTTTAGAAACTATAGGAATTTATCTATAGTCGGTCACGTCGGACCATTATTGGGGGAAGGTTCCTAAAGTTAAGATTATTCTGAAATAATCAATAGTTGGGATTATTATGAGCGAACCGCCAATAGTTGAGATTATTACAATCAATTTTTCCATTTTATTTTGCTAGAATTTCATATTTTCACACAATGATACTGGCATACTGAGTGACCAACGAGTGAAATCCGATCCTAACAGTCACATACTCACATATAATAGAGTTTTTATTCTGGCCTTGTTTGGCAAATGGCTGTTAGTTGTTGTTGTCAGCTGGTTGTGTCACCTGTTTTCTAACAGCGGGATGTGTTTGCTATTTTGACCGACTGGTTATGTTAGCCGACTATAAATAATTATTTGGTAAAATTGGTTGTTTCAAAATGGCTGATAGAGTGTAACCCATCTAAAAGAACGAAAGAAGCCAATCTAAAAAACTGCCCCCTTGGCTTTTCCTACCAGCCATTTTTTCATCTTTTTGGACTCATCAAGTTAATCTAAAAAGCTATTTACCAAACATAAATATTGACTGCTTTCACTAATGAAACAACTAAATTTGGTCAAACAAGCTAAAAGTTGGCTGATAAGCCATTTGCCAAACATACCCTAAATCAGCTATATGATACGCATAATGTAAATGATCATATATATTATGAAATGGAGGAAATCAGGAAATTAACAGAAGTTAATTTTGGGAAATAGGGTGTATTATGAACACTAAAGTTTTAGTAAAGTTATTCTTGAAAGTGTGTAAATTATAATGGGAAAAAACTCGTGTTTGTAGGAGAGAATTTAAATTCCTCTAGATTAAGAGTTAATTATACAACAACAACATCTAAGCCTTAGTCCCAAAAGATTTTAGGATCGGCTAACATGAATTGATCCATGATATCAGAGTCAAAAAGAGAAGAAAAATAAGAACAAAATGATAAAGTAAGATACAATGACTAAGATAAAAAATATAAAATAAAATAACATAACATAAAAAATATAAAAGACAATGATAAAAGAGCATAAGAAATATAAAAATAACATAAGACCATAGAAAGATAAAGAAGATAAAACATAAGTGCTAATAGTAAACCACATAAATATAATCTGGAAATTACAATTATGATTTGTAATTATTTTTATAATGTTGATAAAAATGTCCTAAATGTGAATAGTAGAAGATAACTATTTCATTATTTTTCAACAATATATTATTTGTTAAAATATAATTAAATTGGTTACCTTCTAACTATTCATGATTAAAAATTATTATTACCATTACTAAAATAATCAGGAAATCATAATTATGATTTCAAGGTGATAATTGTGTGACCCATAATCATTTCCAATTCTGAGTGGGCTCACATTTTCTCCTATAAATAGGAGACTTCCCTGATCTTCTGCTTATTTTCTTCCATTTCATAACGTTATTGTTATAATTATTATTAACTCTGATGTCATGTGTCAATTCACAATTTCACAATAGCTAATCTCAAAGTCTTTGGGGATAATGGTTTGGATGTTGATGATGTTGTTGGGTTTGTAGGGAAAATTAAGTCCATATACGCATTGTTATGTGTACCCTTAAATTGTTGTTATGTACTTACCTTAATAATAAATACAAAAAGAAGAGGAAGAGTGTACAGTTGGGAATTATTAGGAAAACTTTGTACAATTGATGATAATCAGTTTGATGCAACCTGAAAGACCTATATGAGGGTTTGCGTTTATCTCAGTATTAGTAAACCCTTGAAAAGGGTGTTGAATTCTTCTGAGCTCATTGTAAATATGAGATTCTCATTTTTTAGTTTTGCATGTGGCAATTATTTCCCCATTGGCTTGGGCCTTCTGGGGATGTTCGTCTCCATGAGCTTGACTCTTGTTTCCTGTCGAACTCCCAACGCGACGTGCATCTCATGCTATTCTTGGACCCAGGTACCCGTTACGTTGGGATACGTACTTCCCTTGGATGATGGGAAGGGTATCCCTGGTGGCTTGGGCCTTCAAGGGACGTTCGTCCCCAATCTCTGCGAGACGTGCGTCTCATGCTGCTCCTGGGTCAAGTTACCCGCTATGCTAGGCGACGTACGTCCCCTGCTCTTTGACCACGTTGGGGATGAACCTCACCAAGGGGGCTAACCCGTTGTCTTGGGCCTTCTCGGGGCCTTCATAGGGTAGGCCTTTGAGGGTTTATGGGCCATTAATCCAATAGGGAGTAACATTATTTATTTTGTAATGCAAACTTAAAATGTTAATCGTGTCTTCATGAATTTTAAAATATTTTAAATTATACAATTAACACCATAAATCATACATTTTTGAAAGAAATAATAGTTGCTATGATGCTAAAATAACTTTTTATATAGAGTTTGAGATATTTAAATTACATATGCAAGTTTGGGATCTTAATCTCACACCCTTCAAAGTTTGGGTTTTTTAATTATGGGAGAACTATCAAATAAGCAGTCGAACTTTCATAAAAAGTGCAAATAAGCCCTTTTATAAGAGGCTCTCGCCGGCCGTCGCCATTTGAGGCGGTTTCCAGTGTAATTTTTTGATGAATTTTTTAAATCTAGTTTACTCATACCAAATTTCAGCTAAAAATTCAATCGGGAAAGCAGTCAAATGAATTTTTGAAGACAACTATGCAGTTAGGCAACACAGTATATTTCAGAAAATCATTTGACCGCCTTCTCGATTGAATTTTTAGCTGAAATTTGGTATGGATAAACTAGACTTAATGAAGAAGATACTCAAAAAATGTCATCAAAAAATTCCACCGGAAACCACCCCAAATGGTGACAGCCAGACACAGCCTCCTGTAAAAGGGCTTATTTGCACTTTTTATGAAAGTTCGAGGGCTTATTTGATAGTTCTCCCTTTAGTTATTTTCCCCTTAAATAAAAATATAGCTCCTTTAAAATGATTCTAAGCCTTAAAATGCACAAAGAAAAAGATCAAACTAAGTCAGTTCCGGTCCTTATGTACCCTAACAGGGGCCAACGCAAGTAGGGAACAGTTCTGGCACCAGTCCCAGTCTCTCAGACCGAATGGGTAAAATCTATTAGTCTGAATCAGGAATGGGTCCGGGTCAGGCCTAGGCCCGGCAGGCCAACGGTTCAGGAATGGTGGACCCGGGACCGGCCCAGGTAGCCACCTAACCATCAAGCCCAATCCAGGTGGAACCCTAAAAACGAAAACAAAAATCAATTTGGCCCGAGCCCGGGCCCGGGCCCGACCCGGCCAGGCCGGTTTGCCAAATGTGAGACCCGAGCCCGGACCCGTCCTACCCTCGGGCCTAGACCCGGGCCGGTCCCGGTCCCGCATAGTAGCGGGCCAGGTGGCCCGACCCGAGTCCAACACTAAGTCTGATACTCTGATCTCAAGAACCAGCCAGATCCTATCCAGTGCATTGGACCATGTCTAACCTTAGGCTTTAGGCTTTTCATTTGATCATAGGACTAGTGATTCAAGTTCAGGTTATCAATGTGTTTGTGTTTCCACTTGCATGATTTTAATACAAGTCTTTTACAATTTAAAAAGCCACTTCTCCTAAAAAAAATTAACCCAGAAGGAAAACCTCTAAAATCAGTGGTGGAGTAGGAGTTGGTTGTCAGTCGCCACCTACCAAATTTTATTAAAAATGAAGAGTTACACCAGTTCTCCCTATAATATATTGTAATTTGTAACTATAGGTCTATATTTAATACTACGTAGTAAATTAGTAATTGAACTGGAACCTCAAATATATACTACTACGTATTATATTGCTAATGATTAAATATCGTACACAAACATAATATAAACAAATAAGTGAGAAATGAAACAGAACCAGGACGGCAATAGGACCTGCCAGTTCTGGGCAACGTATGTGTAGAATGGAATCATACTCAGGTTAAACTGGTACCGAGTACTGTTCTGGTTCTGGTCTTTCAAAACGGTCCAAGTCAACTCTTATACCTGGTTCCCAAAATGCACCTAACTCTCGAGGCTCAAATAGGTAAACCACGAATAGTAAAATAGCATTAGCACTAATCATCCATCCGTGAAACCCTAAACCCCCACTGGGGTTACTACCATACATTACGGGTTAATATTACTAATCATTCCTGCTTTGGTGAATTAGAAAATACCTACAAGTGTGTGTGCCTTACTATCACGTATACAAAGTTGTTTCCATCGTTCATCATTAAAAGTAAGCCTCTGAGTGAGTTCCCTATCAGCTGGAAGCTTTATGTATGGCCATGAAATCCTGCTCGTCTGGAATTACTTGCGTGTAAATCAGTACCTTTAAAGTTCAAAGAAAAATATTTACCACATAATTCTAAATAGATAGCAAATAGTCAAATGAGGTAATAGCAAATACAATTATACAAAAAACAATTAACAAAAAGAAATAAAACATTGTTAGCAGAGTTGTGCTAATCATAACCCTTGATGTGAACTTTTCTGAATTCAATATCATAGGTGTGTCCGTGTGAGTACTTCTTAGATATCCAAATGCATTTATTTGCATCCCAATTTATAAAGTTCCTCTTTTAAAAATCTAGATCACTCAAGTTAATTTTAGATGCACAATCATAGGGTTTTTACCCTTAATTCTTGAAAAACCTAGTTCATCCTAGTTTTTTTCAAATAGAGGTTGAAAAGAATGGAATTAGGTTTGAGTAGTTACCACTTACCAGTACCTAGTTCATCCTCATCACCACTTTGAGTTGTAAAGAATGGAGTTAGGTAGTTCCTATCTAATGCTGTAAAGGACGATGTGCTGCAATAATCATGGAAAAGTGTGCATAAAATTAATACAGTACAGTTCATCCCCCCCCCCACACACACCCACCACATCCCCAAACACACAAACACACACACACACGAGAATCTAACATATGACATTCTATACCTCTTTTGGAACTCTTTTAGTTTCATCTTGAACCTGCTTCCGGATGATGATTCCTCATCATCGTCATAAGAAGGTGCACTATAGCCATTACTCCCCTCTAATCTCTAAACCGGAAAATAGAAAAATTGAAACAAATAAATCTGAGCGCTATAAATTTCATAGCGCAAAACTATACTTTACATTGCTGTTCAAATTTTGAAACAATAGAGTTGAAATCAGATTTGAAGGGGAGCCTTGGCACACCAGTTAAGGTGTTGCTGTGTGACCGAGAGGTCACGGATTCAAGCCTTGGCCACTCCCAAGACTTGAACCTTATACACCCCTGTGCAGTTGTGCGTGAGACCCTTACCCAGACCCTCGCTTTGCGGGGATGCCTTCATGCACCGGGCTGCCCTTTTATAAGACTTGAAATCAGATTAAAAAAACGGCATAAATATCCAGTATGTTGACAACGTACGTGAAGGGTAAATATTAAGAAGCTTCATATTATGTCCTAGTGACTGACATATACTATCAATGTTAGCATTAAATGTTGTGGGTTCCACTTGGCACTGTGCTTAAGATGATAAAAGTAGTACGCTTCAGATTTATTGAGAGGAATGGAAGAATATGAACCAGAGACTCGTATTAAAATGAGTCACAAAGACTTTTGGGACAGACCAAAGAGGAAAGCTAGAAGATAATAAGGAAGCAAATGGATTATAAATTATCTAGTAATAAGCATACTTCACTCAAGGAGCCATCATAAGCATCTCCGACAACATCTAAAGCTTCCAACATAGTACCAGTTGATCCACCAATAATCAAAACCTGCAAATTGAGTGAATATTAAAGAAATGCTAAATGATCAGATTAAAAAGGACTCGAACTACGTCTAGCTTGAGGATATCTACACACACGCTCCTTCAGTCCCAAAAAATATGAACATGTTCGTAAATTGAACATGACTAACTTTTGAGTTTCCCAGTTTATTCCTTTTAACATTGATTTCAATTTTTTACTTTGTGGGCCCATACTGCTTTTTCTTACTCTCTAAAGGTTACAATTGTAAAATAACAACATCCTTTATGTCAATTTCATGTGAAATGCAAATTTCAATTTTATAAGCACATACATACATGCATAGATATAGTACAGAGTTTATATCTTCAAAAAACATTTCAATGTCTTCCCAATTGAATTTTTGGCTGAAATTTTTTGCGGATAAACTAGACTTGACGAGAAACATGCTCAAAACATTTCATCAAAAGAATCCACAGGGAACCGCCCCAAACGGTTGCTGGACGGAGCATCCTGTCCCTCCGGCTGGAGAGGATCATTCCTCTATATAGGGTGTCATTCAAATGAGAACGATGCTGAAAGTGAGAACACTCACATTTAAATCAATGTGGTGCACATTAGAGCTCATTCGTTGCACATTTTTAAATTTGCTCAAATTAAGCCAATATTAAATAACATGGTGGCATTATGGTAAATATTATGACAATCCGAAAGAGTGCAATAGAAAGGTTTTATTGTGCACCACGTTGGAGTAAATGTTCTGTTCTCACGTTAAACATTGTTCTCATTTAATCTTATATATATATATATATATATATATATATATATATATATATTACTCCAGGGGGTTCTGAGGAGGGGTCGGGGGCCTGGAGTAATCAGGGTTGAAACTCACTCCATTGAGTTTCGAACCTGAGGCCTCCCATAAGGGAGAGTGAGTCGGCAATCATCTGAGTTGGACTGCTTCCTACACACACACACACACACACACATATATATATAGTATATGATTAATGTTCCTGTTAGTCCGGACTGACCGGAACCGCTGTTCGGCAGACACCATTTGAGGGGCTTCCCGGTGGAATTTTGTAATGAAATTTTTGAAAGCATGTTCTTCATGAAATGTAGAACATTTACACAAAATTTCAGCTTAAAATTCAATCATGAAGTCAGTTAAATAAATTATTGAAACACACTGCGCAAAAATATGCATAAAAATGCAGTCTTTTTTAACAATTTATTTAACTGACTTCCCAATTGAATTTTAAGCTCAAATTTTGTGCGAATGTTCTATAATTCACACACACGCGCACATGCACACACACGCGCGCACGCGCGCACGCGCGCACACACACGCACAACTTCAAAGCTGCATTAGTGTGGCACTGTGGCATCATTATAGTTTTCTAAGACAGCAGAAAGATTCCAAGTATCATTCTCCATCTCGAAGGGCAAAGGGTTAAAATGGTCGAAAAGACGCGAAATATTTTTAATATAAACTTACTAATAGAGGTCATGATTATCAATCCTGCAATTCGACATGACTATAGCAAATATCTTTTTATACTGAAAGTACTGTTCATAAGTGTGAGTGAAATAAAGAAATCATGAAAGAACTGAGTAAGGTAGAGTTCCTTTACCTATAGAAGTATATTACCAAGTAGTAAATTAAAAAAACAAGAGTTACTTTGCCTAAACAGATACGGTATATCAACCATGACAATGAGGTTACCGTCAAAACAACAATTGCCGTGGTTGCTGTGAAAATTGTCTGACCATGACCTTCGGGGAGATCATGAACTGACTGCAAGGCAAGGGCAAAAGCCATAGCCCCTCGAAGTCCTAAAATCAAGCAAATCATTTACTCAGTCTATGTAGCAGAAACTGAGAAACACTTAAGGAGCCATTGATAGCCAATACCTTACTTACCACTGTACCAGAGTGCTTTCTGATGTTTTGGTGGTATTTTTCTATGTACAGGTCTTACCAGATTCACCAGATATGCACAACCAAACACATTTGCAGCCCTTCACATAAAATTAAAAATTGATATCATGATTAACTCTATCCAGTCCTATTTTCTACACTGTCATCCCTCATCACTGTTTGGTAACACATGAATGAAAATTGTGCTACCTAAATTACTTTAGCATTAAAATAATGAGAATGCATAATATAACTTATAAGCGTAATAGTAAACCGCAAAGCTTACCTTGCAATTCCGATGAATAGCTAGGAGTTAAAAAGTTAAAGAAACAAAGAACTCAAAACATAATACCAACAAGCATAGAAAATATTAAATGCAATGGAACAGCAAGGATACAATTGAGAAGAAAATAAATCCAATGTGTGACCAACTATGTTGTTCCATAGCTATATCAAAACCCATATATATAAATCTGCATGTAAAACAGCACAAATCACCAAAACTTGCACATGTAACTATATGTAAGGGAACATTAATAATCAAGTATATGGAGTAAAAACGAGTTCTTACACAAATGTCTCAGCCAATGAAGATATCAGATGAAAAAATGAAGATACAAATCTCTGAGAGCTGTCTGACAAATTTGAGTATGTATAGCGTTTCATTACCTAGCACAACCATAAGTGATGCCTGGATCAATTCCTCTAAGGAAATTTTTTCATGAATTAAATATGTGAATGGAAACAATATGTTCCAATTTCTGACTTACAATTCCAGTGAACAGTATAGAGACAATGCCAGAAAGACCGAGCCCTTCCGCCAACATGTAACTAAATGATAGTATGAACTATGAGGAACAAAGTGTGCAAATCAAATAATCATTCCATCAAATGCAAGAAAAGGTGAGAACTTACGAAAAATATGGGAAAAGAACAAATAGACAACACTCCAAGTTCTGCAGGCTGCAAAGAGAATGAGAAAGAAATGTCACATCATCCCAATCAATCCAAATTTCATGTTCATAAGAACATAGGAGATACATGCTTACTTATCAATATCCAATCCAGCATACTTGAAAAGGTATGGAGAGTCAAGGCTTCACATAATTAGCTGCAGTTAATATCTAAAAGAGAGTCCTCGACTATAGTGAAATTTCTGTTTTAGTCTTCAGCTATAAACAAAACCCCTTCTGGTCTTGGTCATATCAACTTTTAAGGGTGTAGGAAATTTAGCTACAATGTCAAAAATACCCTTATATGAAGAAGGTTTATATTTTTTCAAGTGAGACATTTTGGACATTAAATGATATTTTTAAAAGTGAATAGACCTAAAGTGATGCAATTGATAGTCAGGGATCAAACGTGAAATTCACAATCATCAAGCTAAAGGATATCAAAGCAGAAATGAATCCAACACCAACACCTGCAGCATCAGAATTATGAAGTTAGTAGCCAAAAACAAAAGATTACTCTTCTGAAAATTTAAAATAATATGCATGTCTAATTATCAGCCAGGGGCGTAGCTCTGCTGGTGGGAAGAGAGTGCCACAAGGGAGAGGTCTCGAGTCCAATTCCAGGCAAAGACCTGGACTGGAGCTCCACTCTCTCTCCACCAGTTTGTGATCAAAACTCAATTTACATCCTCCCGGATAACTTTTCATCTGGTCCTGGAGTTCCTCAAGGATGAGGAGTCATCCTTTTTTATAGCAACTGGGCTATCAAAATGACAATACCTAAAAAACTTAGTCTTGTCTCAGCAACAAACTGCAAATATTATACTATGTATAATATATACTCCGTAGTTCATAACTTGATAGCCCTTTATAATACATCAAGCTATCAAAGCAATTACCAATAGAAAGCACAAGTCAGGAACATCCATTTATTTATATATAAAAATCCCCCCCCCCCCTCCCCACAGTTAAATAGAACTCCTCTACGGAGAAAAACATTTGTTGACACTGCTTTCATGTCACAAAGTCAATTGCAAGTTGTGAAGGCTGACCTGCTGACATTGATCCAAAAAAAGTCTCTAGAAATCGGACCATGATCATAAAAAAGTTCTGTCCAGATGAGGCATTGCTCCTCACTAATGACATTGTCCTACAAAAGAATAGATATTCCAGGCTCAAGTGAATATCCAGCATGACTCACTAGAAAGGCATGTCTAGTAGACTGACCTGTATAGAGAAATTGCCATCTCCAGTAGGGCAATAGAAAAACAGAATAATTAGCAAAGAAAATCACCAAACTTCTTGAGGAATGAATATCATAAAACTAGAATAAAATAGAAAGCAGAAAATTACACAGAACTTACTGCATCATTTAAAACAGATTCACCAAACACCAATGCATAAAGGTTCACATCTGTGCCGAGCTCCTGCAAAATAGAAAGAAATAAAATTATATTGCGATGTGAAAAATTAAAAGAATAGGTCAAATTGTTAATGTGATTGCCTGATACTTGGTTTCCTACATTGATCATTTAAATAATTATCAATCACAAACCAGCACCACTTTCTTTCTTCTTGTGAGATGGCCGCATATGTGTATATCAATCAATCTATCTAACTACACATGTGCACCCAGAGAAGTAAATCTGAAGGGTTCATTAGCCGTGCACAAATATTTCGGGAGTACTTTGCAGATATTATCACAGAACGAGTTAATGTAGGCGCATGTATTATCATTACTATTATTATTACTCCGTATTAGTTAGCAGTAGAAGTTTCATACTAGTTTCATTATTAGGTCATTCAGTTTTAGTAAACTTCTATTTAGCCAAGCTTTATGTTTCATATTATGATTAGGGCTCTTGTAATAGCTATACAAGGGTCATTAGTATTATTCAATAAACAACCTTTGAAGACAAGGTTGGACAATGATTAATTCTAGCTAAACTGAGATCCCAATCAGGCTCGTATCATGGGTATAGATCATAACCTGAAAAATAGACAGAACAGTGACAGGGTCGGTTGCTGATATAAGAGCCCCAAACATCAGACACTCAAGAAAAGGAAGTTTGTACATGATATATACCACTCCTCCAATGTAACTGCAGCCACATTCATAGAAAAAGAAATTTAATTTAGTTTTGAAAATAAAATAAATTAAAAAGGACCGAGTATAGAAAAGTCAAACAATTCAAAAATGGTGGTAGAAATTCAAAAAAGAATACCAGAACTGTGCTTACACCAAGACGCCTGTAACAATTGAAGCAACAAATGTTCCAAATATGGAAAATGTCACAATGGCTCCAAAGTTTGAAAAGAATGGTTTCTGAAAATTGTACATGCAGACATTTTATTATGTAAAATATAAAAAAAATTAAGTATTTTGAATAAATATTGTGTAAGAACTTACTGGTGACAAACTAAATCCAGACTGGGTAGCGCATAAAGTCAAGGAAACAGCTTTTGCTAATCATTTGGACATAGAAACCACAAAACATAACTCTTGCACAAGTACAAAATCCAAAAAAAAAGGATATAATATGATAGGAGGCAACAGAAAGAGGAAGAAGAATTCTTCGTGAAAGTTAAACCATGCCCTGCCATTGCAAACCAAGAGTAAAAAAGAGTGAGAAAATCATCCCTTCAAATTCTATGTGTATTTATCATACAATTGCAAACATATGCATACACATAGCTCACGATAACTATGTACAGAGATACAGAGAATGAGCTGAGAAAATTAAAGTGTACCTAATGTTTCTTTCAGTATCTGAAATTGTAGCCAAGCCACCTACAATTAGACCTGCCGCAGAATAGTGTGTTATTAGTAGCAACTTCAATAAATATGAGTACAATGAGTATGCAATCAGTTGGAAAGGTTGTTTTATGTTTTTAATAGTGGTAAATTGTCAGAACTGGCTCGAAGTGCGCCACACTGATGCACATTGAGCTGTGATGAACAGGAAAATTTTGTACCAACGAGGAGTTGGAGAAGTGAACTTATGAAATTAAGGAAAACAGTACCAAATAGTAAGCAGTAATATTACCGATCAAAAGGGAGGCGCTAGCTTCGGGAAGATAGTAGAACCGATGGCGGCGGAGGACGTGACCGAGGACAAATGAGAGAACGAGCATCATGATCTGCAGAAGGATTCCAACTCCAGCCGCTTGCTGTTCCTTTCCAGGACTTCCCCGAGCATCATTCGGAGAAATTTGGAGGAGCAACTGCTCTTCCATCGCAAAATCACCGTGCCCAACGTAAAGAGATTATAGCCGGGCGCCAAAGCAAAATCTGGAGGACGCCGCCGACGATCAGATAACACAACGACAGCTTATCCGATGATAGAAAGGAGATCTTCACTGTGTTCTGCTAATTTGTAGATATACAAGCCTGAAGATGAACCCCTGACGCCGACGATTTCCGGATTCCGGCAGGCTTTTCGTATTTGTTCCGCGAAGGTCAGAAGTTGTAAAAAGTCGTCGTTTAGCTTCAGTTCAAAAACTACAGTTTTTTACCTAAGCGGATCAATATTAATAAAATACTACCTTCTTCCCTTAATTAAACACGGTACGAGAATTAAACGTGATTTAATATGTACGTGTTTTATTCGGTAACTTGAACAAAAAATACAGTCAAACATTCGGCAAAAAATACGTTGACTTTTATAAAACGTGTAAATACGTATACGTGTATAATACGAAATCTCTTAGAAAAAATCGGGTTAAAAATATGGGTCTCATTTTGAATGACTAAATTATTGTACTAGTTTTTAGAGCATAAAAAACATATGGTACATCAAGGATAATCAACATACACACACATTCAAATATAATATCTCATTACTTCATCAAAAAATGCATTCATAATAGCATAAGTTCATGACAAAAAAGAAATAATGATTGAGTCCAAAATAAAATTTAAATTATATACTTCATAAAATAACATATAATAAAAAGAAATAAGAGTGCACACATATTGAAGTAGCAAATCACATTACTACATAAAAGAATAATTCATAATTATTGCATAAGTCGGTGACAAAAGTAAAAATAGAATGAACCCAAGTTAACAACGTCATCATCTTTATATGATCATCAAATAACACTCAAGTTAAACTCATCATTTTCACCTAGATGACGGATGGCATGAGAAAGTTGTGCGACTGCTACACTTATTATTGTTTATGTGTAAAAGTTTATACTAAAAATGTCAGGTTTAGAAAAACCTTAATTTTGATATGCTTGTTTGGAAAAGAACATCACAAATCTAATACGTAGTAGTATTTTAGATTTTAGTCTTTTAGAATGCTAGCTTTAGTCATTATGCAATTAATTTTAGTATTTAACAATTATATATTTTGTATTGTAACAATACAAAAATACGGGGGTCAAGGGGATGAGGTTTTCTTTTTTGCTTTTAAACTATTGTTGATCTCCTATTCATTTGATATATTCATTCAAGTGATCAAATGATGTTTTTTTTGTAAAATACGGGAAATATACGTTTTATACGGGAAGGGGAAGTTTTTTTCCTTTTCAAGCGGACCGACGTTATTTTTCGTTTTAAATGCGTTTTTTTTTGTTCAAAAAACTGTACGTGTTTAAAACGCGTTTTAAACGCAAAAAAAAAGCTAACTAGGGTTGACCGGCACGGAGAATAATAAAGTAAAAACCGGGTGGTTGAGGTTTGTGCAGAGGAGAGAGAAATAACAGAAACAACAAAATAATTGATTAAAAGAGAAAGTGACAAAGTTTTTTGGAACGTCCCAAAAAGGAAAGATGACGAAGTTTTAAGGGACGGAGGGAGTAAATACAAATGAACTTAATGCGTGTTTGGATTTGATTCTTAAAATTGCTTCTAATCTTTCAGGGAGTAGAAGCAGAAGTTGGAGTGTTTGGGTGAAAATGAAGAAGTGATTCCGGTGCTCTAATTTACTCCTAGAATCGGGTTTTTTAGAAGCTGGGGGTGACCAGCTTCTGAAAACCGATTCTGATTCTGCTTCTGCTTTTAAAAAAGAAGCAGAAGCAGAAGCAGTTCCAAACACCCCCTAAGTCTCTTTGGTAACACTGAAATCGGCTGAATTGGTTGATTGTGCTGAAATTTATAAAGTTCTGGCTGATGTGGCTGTATTGGCTGATTTTGTTGATTTATGAAAAACATTATGCTTAAAATATTTGTTATTAATAAATAAAATAAAAAATTATATGAAAAAGTAGTTAAAATGATATTTTACAGTAACTTCAGCCAATACAATCAGAAAAGTAACTTCAACCTTATTTTTTCTTACTAGGTTTCAAGCCCGTGCGATGCACGGGCGGTATGTAATTTATCTAATTCAAAAACAAAATTAACTCAGTCTAAATATAGAGTGTGTTTGATAATACTAATACTGGTGGAATCGGTTTATTTTGCTGAAATTAATTAAATTCTAGCTGAATAGGTTGAATAGGTGAATATCCCGAATCATGAAAACAAATAAATTCCATTTGTTAAATAAATAAAAATTATATGAAAAATAGTATAAATGGTCTTCTACATAAGCTTCTCTACTAAGCATAATTGTTATAAACCCGGTTTTAAAGAACTCATAGAGAAGCTTCTTAATTATTTTCATGTCCTCTAATTTACTTTATTATGCGCCTCAAAATATATTTTTTAATATTCCTCATTCAACTTGGTATGAAATATGGAGTACATACTTTTAATAGTAAGATTTTACATTTTACTTATTATTTCATCACATTGAAAACGTCATTAATAAGGACATTTTTAATTGAATTAAAATTTTCGGGTTTGATTTGGTCTAAAGTAATATGATCTGGTAGATTTCTGTTTTACATTTTATGTGTCCAATTATTATTAAAGTTTGATCTGATCTGATTTAGTTTGAGACTGAAATCAATCTAATTAAAAACATGTTAAGAGTAAACAAAATTAGGAATTTGTAAACATATAAAGATTTCCTAATTTAGATTACGAATCGATCTATTTCAAAAGTGACGGAATCTAGAGTCATTTGTTTCCATATCAATATGCAATCGAAAATAGAATCCAATAAAAATAAAAGGTACGGAATATAAAAATAACTAAATACTTGTTATATATGATGAATGACATGACAGGATTATGTGTCGCTTTGTATGCTCTTAAAAAGTTCATCTTATATATATACAGTGGCGGACCCACTAATGGTCCCATGGGGTCCCAGGACCCATGGACTTACAAATAAATACCTATATATATTATATATTTTTATATAAAATTAACTAAGACATGTATATATATAATTAAAGCAATAAAACAATCGGAAGACTGTAGTAGCATTACGGTAGCAGCCATCACAATAAAGACCTTTCCTGCCGGAAGTGCCGTGTTCGACTCCCTCCCACCATGCCCCATTTTTTTTATTTTTTTATACTTATTCCATAACATCAAATCATGGGGCGGACCTACGTGTTAATTAAAAAGAATAGTATTGATATTACAGCTCTTCTTAGTTCGTACATCTTGTTTTTAAATTACAGAATTACTTTTTTTTTTTGTCAAAAATTGAAAATAATAATCCCAACTATTGTCAGTCCATTAATAATAATCTCAACCATTAATTATTTTTGTATAATCCCAACTATATGGATCATCCGCAAATAGTGGTCCATGACCGGTTACTATCTGCTATAATATGACAATTTTTAATAGAAATTAAACTTATTCTATAAATAATCTGAACTATGCTCGCTCTTCTTTTAATAATCACAACTATCAACTCAATTTTTTTTAACAAAAAGTAGAAATAATTATTTTAAATTTCAGGTTTTAAATTTTACAAATGAAAGTTTAACTAAATATTAAAACATGTTGCATTTTAGAAATAAAAAATTTTACATTTCATTTTTTATTATTATTCTCAGATTTTTTTTTATAAATAGTCGTTTTTGAATTCTTTTACAATTCAAGGTTTTTATTAATTTTTAACTACTTTAAAATGATTTAATATTTTATGAAGATTAGCTTTAATTTTTTATATATTTTGAAAATAAGTATTAGTATTTTTATCTTTTTCACTTTCTTAATTTTGAAAATCAAAGTTTTCTTTATTTAATTTGAATCTGTAATTAATTTGAATTTCATTTATCATTTAAAGTTTTTATATCGACCTTTTTAGTATCATTTAAAATATCTTACATTAATATATATATATATATATATATATATATATATATATATATATATATATATAGAGAGAGAGAGAGAGAGAGAGAGATTGTTACGTAATTGAACACGCGAAATCAAAAGTTATGTGTTTGGTGAAAAAACTGACTGATAAGTCTGATAAGCCAAAAAAATGCTACCAAAGTACCAAACGGGTTCTTAATATTATACCTATAGATAAAAATTCTTTTGATTTTTTCAAAAAATGTTGTAGGGAGAATGATTGCCTAACTTCATTATAAATGACTTTTAGTCCTATATGGGGAATTAACTCTTTTCAATATAAGGGTTTGCAGAGACGGGCCAGTAGACCCATAATACATCAGTTACATAGGATAATTTATAGGGAATTTTTCACAAATAGCCTTAATTTTAAAATATATCACTTTTTTCCCTTTATAGAAGTTTTTCAAATATAAGCTTCCGAATTGTTTTTCTTTCATAAATAGTCCACGTTGTCTTCTCCTTATTAGTGCACGTGAGGTTTGAGTCTTTACTCTTTACTACTCTTTCATTATACAAAGTGAAGGGAATTACTTCTTTGTTTTTAAATAGGAAAATGTAAAAAGCCTAAATTATGTTAATGCTTAGACAAAAATAAAAATTCCGTCAAATGAAATTTAATTTTAAAAATAACCAGAAACTCAAAGTAAACAATAAAAATAAAAAATAAAAACACAAAATTTGGAAACTTGTAAATTAAATTTGAAAAATGATTGAAAATGAAATTAATGTATACAAACAAATCAGAATATAAAATATATACGAAAATTTTAAAAAAACTTGAAAACAAACAAATATAAAAGTTTAAATTCGTTAAAGTTTGGGGACAGGTAAAAAAGGTACAAAGTTTGAAGGGAAACTATCAAATAAGCCCCCCCGTACTATACCGAAAAAGTCGATTAGGCCCTCGTACTTTACAAACACTCAATTAGTACAATGGCCTAATCGACTTTTTAGGTATAGTACGAGGACTTATTTGATAGTTTTCCCAAGTTTGAATTTATTATGGTAGTTTTCTTAAATAGTTAATGTGGTTTATATAAAAATCAAACTTTCATAGAATGTTTAAAATGGTTAAAAAAATTAAAAAACGCATAGTTATAAAAAAATATTAGAAATGAGATAAAAATATTTTTAAAATGTGTAATAATATGAAATATTATAAAAAGGGTAATCAATATGTTTTTAGGAAGAGAAAATGTAATATTTTTTAAAAAATAAAAATATATTCATATTAAAAAATAAAAATATGATAAATATATAAATTTGAAAAACATTCCATAATTTTATATAATAAAAAATA